CAAAATAAATATAACTAAAATGAAGGGTATATGATAAAGCTTTTTCAGTGGTAATTATATATGCCTAAACATAGTTTTCCAAAGTGTTTCGTAACTTAAAACTTTGGAGTTTGCTGGATTAAATAGTAAAAATTATTAAATATCTAGGTATTTTGAAATAACAGGATACTGAAATATTAATTAATCTGAGTTTGCCTCGTATGAAAAACTAGAGAATGGATTTGAATCTATTAATGAATGTCTAGTATTTTACTTGAAATAGCTCTTAAAATGTGAATGTATTGCTAATCTGAGGAGTGTTACTTACATGCCACCTAAAAATTAAGGTTTCTAAGGAAGGGTTAAGAATTCTAACTAATTAGAAAGAAATTATGGTTTTGATGTCATGGAAAGCATGAAGCATAGAGATGCATTTTGAAGGAAAAAGAATGTGGATTCTAGAGCTGGTTATTTCTGAAAGTTGTAAGGTTTCTGAAGAAATATTAGTGAAAGTTGTGGAATTTTGTGAAGAGAAATGTTGAAAGGAAATGGTATAAATGACACAGGCCAGTAAGCCAGGACAAGTAGAAAAGGGAAACTGAGATGGTTAATTTGGAGCCATCTAGTAAATCCTATCTTCCCTAAACCAAGGACACTTAAGAGTAAATGATTTGCATTTTGCCTCCCTAACTATAAGGTCTAAACCAGTGGTTCTCAACCTGTGGGTTGCGACCCCTTTGGCGGTCGAACGACCCTTTCACAGGGGTTGCCTAAGACCATCCTGCATATCAGATATTTACATTACGATTCATAACAGTAGCAACATTACAGTTATGAAGTAGCAATGAAAATAATTTTATGGTTGGGTCACAACATGAGGAACTGTATTTAAAGGGCCAGAAGGTTGAGAACCACTGGTCTAAACATATGGTAAATAGCTTATATCAATGTACTCAGGGAGACTGACCACACCCAAGTAGAGAATAAACCTTATTTTGGTTAGTCCTTTCCTAATCCTATAAACTATTAAAATGGTTATATTTCATATTAATCAGGTATTTTTTACAAAAAGGCCATCTTTTAATGGTGGGAACTGAAGTTTTCTAGCCTATGTTTGTATCTATCTTTTGGCAAAATAAATTTGACAATCTTTCCAGGGTTTAAATTTTAAGAAACTTTTTCTTCACCTAGAATTGGCTTTAGATCATTCCAATAGACTCTGAAATGCCTCAAGTATTTGTTTTCTCTCTCATGAAGGAAAATTTTCTGCTTAAGGTACATGGGAAGCTCTGTCAAATAATAACTATATTATGCTTTCATTTATAGCTCTAATTGTTATTCTGGAATATTGTGTTTTGCAGAAAGGACAAGATTCCATGTCATTTGCAAGTATTGCTAATTCTTAAACTTTTTGTTTTTCAGATATAAGGAAGCATTTTTAACACAAATTTAGTAAATTATATATTTCTCTCCCTACCTGTCTCTCCAGAATTTGGCAATTCTTAATAAGTGGCAATACATTTCTTTGCATTTATTCAATAAGACCTGTTTCCAATTGTAGCTACCCTTAATTTTTAAAATCAGAATGATCATTTGTAATCCTCAGTAACCCCATCTCAGAAACCACAAGTCTTGTGCAAGATGTGGACACTAATAACTGGATGGGACCCAATGAATTAACTTGCGGGGAGGGATATGCCTATGCCTCTACCCCCACTAGGGCCGCTGTAGATTCCATCTTGTCAGATTGAACCTTATCATGGCATGGTACAGGACCAATCCTCTTCCAGAAATGAAGAACTTGGGCCTGGGGACTCCGCAGCACCTAACGTTGTGCCTTCCCCAGACCCAGACGGCCCCCGGAATAACCTGGGGAATGATGAAGAAGCTGACAGCAGAGGCTGAGCAATTATTGGAGCGTACTCACACTCTACGCATTCTAGATAACTAACCATTGCTCTTTTTGTTTTTCTTATAGTCTGTAAAATCAGAACTCCAGCAGTAAATGCGCTTTGCGGACCGGACATTCCAAAGCAGAAAGTTCACCACCTCCCTCTGTCTTCTACTTTCAGCAAAATGAAAAAGGGGGAGATGTTGGGGAGCACAAGAGACTTGGTTGAAAGTTGTAAGGAGGACATTCTGATAAAAGGGAAGTGCGTGGAAGGCCGCCTGACCTGTTTACCGGAATTCTGACTTAGGGGAGTGTCAAAGGCAGCGCCCCTAATTATTCCTTGACCTTTCCAAACAAGTCTGTGCATGTGTAGACCCCTGGGTTTTTACTGGAATCCTTATGCTTAATCCTGAATGGCCTTGCCTAGAGGACAATGTAAACCTCCCAAGATTATTCACCCTACTGATTGTATCTAAAAATAAAAATTCTAATAAAGGCCTAACAAGGCAGGCAATAGAGGCTGCTCTGGCCACTAGAGCAAGGGGCTCCTTAGCCCTCTCTTGCACAGTCAAACTATCTGAGTAATCTGTTCATCCGTCTTTCAGGGGCTGCTTGTCAGCCCTGGCAGGGTGTTACTTCTCAGATTAGATTACACATAAAATTTGACTTCCATCTTCCTCTCCCCGACCCCCGAGCCCTCTGAATCCTCCCTCACTCTGGAGAAGCAAGCCTTCATGCTACAAGTGGCCTTGTTCAGAGGCCCTGTGGTTAGACACTGATATCTCTGAGCAGCAGCCTGTGCAGACCTGAAGCCCACCAACAGCCACCTGAGTGGGTTTAGAAGTGGGTTCATCCCTACTGGAGTCCTGAGATGACCACACCCATGGCCAACACCGTGTTTGCAGCCTCCTAAGAGACTCCTGGCCAGAGGGTCTCGCTATGCCACACCTGGACTCTAGACCTACAGAAACTGTGAGGTAATAAATGTTTGTGGTTTTAAGTGCTAAGTTTTGCTTTGTTACACAGCAATAGATAATTAATACATTGGACTTTTATAAAGTCAAGTATCTTATAAAAGAACATATGTTAAGTTGAAAGAAAATTAGATGTTATAGGTTTAGAGCTCAGAGAAGTCTAGACTAAAGGTACAGACTTGACATTCATGGGCACTTAGAAAGAATGTAGTGAAGAAGGAAAGATTATTGAACAAGTCTTGAGGATATCCATAATTTACTGGCCAAGTAGAGATGAATGAGTTTGCAAAGGAGATATAAAAGGAACAGCTGGAGAGGTAGAAAGAAAGCCAGGAGAAAAAAAGTAGGGAATGGTCACATAGGAGAAATACTGGAATACTGGGGTCAGTATGAGAATAATCCACAATTCCAGCAAAAGCTGATGGTAAGACGGAAAGGCACAATGGTGTGGATTGAGGTTGGGATATACAGAAATCAAGACAGAAAATATAGACAGCGCTCTCCGGACTTTGACCTGTGTAGGTGGGAAGAGAGATTAGGTAATAACTGGAAGTTGATTATTATTGTTATTTTTTTTTAATGAGAGAAATGTGAAATGTATAAATACAACTGGAAAGGTTCAGGTGAGAAAAAGATGAATATACAACTAGGAAAACAGAAATGGTAAACAAGTGTGAGGTTCCTGGAAGGCAGAAGGAGATTCTAAGTAAATGGGAGGTGGGGCAGCTCCGTTACTAGAACTGGAGGGAAGGACCCACAGAACAGGTGCAGAAATACACAGAGGGTTAACAGTGTTCCTATGTGAGAGCTGCTTTTTTTCTCTAACAATCTAAGAAGAGACCTTAGAGGCTGTGGAAAGGAGAAAGATTTCCACAGACACTGTGGAAAATAGGAAAATGAGAAACAGAACTGTAGTGCTTTGTATAGTGTGAGGACCTGTTTGAATTTAATGGCCTTGAACTTATACAGGAATTAGTCTGCCTCATTAGGTAATGATCAGGTGCTTGGATGTAGGCACAGTGAAATAGATAGTTGGGTTCATCCAAATAAAGAGCTTAGACAAATGGAGGCAACAGAAGGACAAGAGAGTCTCAGAGAATAAAGATGGGAGTAGAGAAATGTAGGGACAGAAGAGAGTATAGAAATACTGCTCATGAAATCCATGCTGAATAGAAAGGGAAAGGTTGATAAATAAGGACATAGCAGAGGACAGGCAGGGACAATGATCCTTCCCCTGTTAGAAGGGGAGGTCACAGGCAAGCAGAGGAGTACTTGAATTAGTAACTCAGGAGGAGTACCATTATAGGTAGTGACAATATCCAGGGAATATAAATGGAAGTGAATGGCTGAAATGGAGAGAAAAATCTCTGAACATGAAAAAAAGGTGAGCACACAAGTGGCCATGATGTTAGACAGGCAACCTGCCTGGAGTCATCCAGATTGATCAAAGCTTGGGTATAGTGGGCAAGCAACTGGCTTACCCTTTGGAGCAGTGAGCTTTTTGCCATTGTCAATGTACACAATAAAAGAGATGACTCCCCAGTAGATGACAGCAGCAACAGGGGATAGAGCAGAATATCTAAATGGCCTGAGTGCAAAGAAGTAGGATCTTAAGATCAACCAAAGGACGTGTATGCATGCATATAAGCCTAACCAATGGACACAGACACCAGGGGGGTGAGGGCATGAGTGGGGGGGGGGTAGGAGGGCAATGTGGGGATAAGGATACATATGTAATACCTTAATCAATAAGGAAAAAAAAGAAGTAGGATCTTAGACAAAACAGTGGAAATATAATGTGGGGGAGTAAGGGAGACACCGTGTAAGACAGTGTTGTTCTCTGCCTGATATTTTTACTCTTTTCTTTTAAAAAAATATATTTTATTGATTTTTTACAGAGAGGAAGGGAGAGGGATAGAGAGTTAGAAACATCGGTGAGAGAGAAATATCGATCAGCTGCCTCTTGCACAACCCTGACTGGGGATGTGCCCACAACCAAGGTACATGCCCTTGACTGGAATCGAACCTGGGACCCCTCAGTCCGCAGGCCGACGCTCTATCCACTGAGCAAAACCGGTTAGGGCTACTCTTTTCTTTCTTACTAACAAAATTCTGATTTTTTTCTAGTCTGCAATATGCCAGCTAAGTATACTTACCTTCTGAGATCTCCTTTTATTAGGGAGTGGCCATGTGGCATACATCTAGCCAATGAAACATCAGCTTAATTTACCAGGGAATTTGAGAATGTTTTTGCTTTTCTGATGCACACATTACCCTTTCTTGCCTGGAATCCAGACATGATGGCTGGGCTGCAATGGCCATATTGTGACCTAGAGGTTATAAACATGAGGAAAAGGCAAAGATAATCACAGAGATGTGAGTCTTCATTTTGACTGGCCACCAAACCAGTACCAGCAGCCATCTATACCCAGATTTCTGATTATATGAAATGAATCCTACTTATTTTCTATTATTTATAATTAATTGTATTCCCCATAGAAATATCAATTCACCTTGTTGTTCTGAAATACAAGGGATATGAGAAAGTAGTTACCACATGAGAGAGTTGCAGGAGTAGTGTCCTCAGGGAAGAGGACACCTTCAGCAAGACAGGAGATAGGAGGGAAGGGAGTGCTATAGAAGGAACTACACAGGTAGGACAATTTGCTAGTTATGGCAAAAGGATTCCAGGGCCAGAGTGGAAATGAATATGGAGGAGAGGAGGGTGGAAGGCTGAGGCAGAAGGATGCAAAGAGCTTCATGAGAATGATTGTGGAAGGGGATCAAATGACAGAATGGGCATGAAGGTAGAGGTTACACTTTGGATGTTGGCCAACACAAACAGCACTGGGAGGCATGATGGATTCGATCTCCAAGTCTCTGAGGACAGAAACCTATGTTACCTTCCCAGAGGGATTACCAGGTTGCATGAGTGGGGCCATCATCTTTCCACATCCTCAGGCAAGAAAAGAGAAATGTCATCCTTTTGGCTTCTCTGGAGAATCAAGATGCAGGTTTAAAGCTACATAATGAAACCTGACAATGTCTCTGGATTCCCTTCTTATCTCTCCATGGGCAGGATTAGAAGCTGGAGAGGGGTAGGACCTGTGGGCCACAGGGCAGGCTAAGGCAGAGTCAGGGAGGTGGCGTTTGCCTTCTCCTCTGGTAATTGGCCCACAAGGTTTGCTATCTCCCTCAGGAGGCTGGTTTTCCCCTCCCAGAGCCCTCACAGTCCCAAAGAAGAGTGACAGCATGTGGCTGATAGATCATCCATGTTGCCATAGCAACAGGCTTGCCCCTGAAGCCATGGGTTAATGACAAAATAATCAGGCCTCTCTTAAAGGTTGCTGATGGGGGTTTGAGTAGGATGCAGACCAGATGAGTGGACATGAAGGCCTGGAGCCAAGAATATTCAGGGTAGGAATTTTATCCCAAATGATCAAAAGCCTAAAGAATCTGAGAATAAGTACCAGCTAAGTCCAACAAGGAGCCAGAAGTTAAGAACAGAAGAGGAAGAATTCAGTCATCTAGTCTAAGGGATTCCTGTGCTAGATTTGGGGGAAGGTGGAGGGGATGAGTAAGGGAAGAAGCTAAAGGGTTGAGTGTCTGTGATTCCTTTCATTGGCTGGTAGCTACATGGTACAGTGGCTGAGCTATGTTAATATTCAGGGACTCTGGGAGGACACTGGCTACCCCACCCTCTTCAGCCATGCATAGCTTGCCTTTCAGCCTCTCTGCAGACTACATACCCATTTTTGCTCTGAGTTAATAAAAATCAATTCAGATGGTGTTAGGACTAAGCCGTCTTCACCTTCTGCCTCCATCCTTTACCTGGATGGAGTTCTCAGCCTCTCTCTATGGGCCCATAAAACTGCAGATACCACCCAAGGTATGTGGCCAGACTCTACTACCCAACTGGTTGGTAGTTTGTGCTGTACTTCTCTGCTAGGACTAGAATTACAACTCTCTGGGCTGAGACCTAGTGGTATATAAGCTCCATAAGGGAAGGGTCTTTGAGAGTTTATCATGTATTCCTAACATGTAGCACAGAGTCTGTCTCATAGTGGGATCTTAATAAGTATGAATGAATGGGCCACTGACAACCTTCCCAGCCCTCGCCCACACTTCAGGTTACTGCACTCCTCTGTAGACATCTGCCATTGACATGGTCCTCCTTCTTCCAGGATGGACCCTATTAGAACCAAGAGCTCCCACCACTTGTCATTGACACCACTGCTTACCAGAGATTCCTGGTATTATTCACCCAAGTGGACCTATCAGACACCAGTGCCTGCCTGGACCAGGACAAGATTTCCAATGTCCCTTTAGCCACTGCAGTGGTAACTTCTTTATCTCCACCTTGGTGTCAACAGCATTAGCACCCTGGCTCCTTCTCAGTCTCAGCCTACTTCCCCCCTGCCCCCCATCAAATGAAGACCTGTCATCCTTCATGTTCAAGGCCCGTGGAGTCTATGAAAGTTGTGGCAATGTGGCAGATGGCCTTGCAGATCTCCCAGCTTCAATAGCCTAGTAGTAAAATTAGGATCATAATAATGTTATTCTACTCTAATTCACAATAGAAGAAATGCGAAGTATCTCACCTTATACACTAAAATTGTATTATACATAATAAAATAGTATGTGTGTATGTTTTTACTGTCTTGTAGCGCTTACCACTTTTCACAGTTAGTTATGGATATGTTTCTGTTTTGCCAGTCTCTCCCTTTGGAATGTAAGTTCCATTAAGTCAGGGACTTTCTCCATTTTTTTTTTTTGCTACCTAAATAGTGGGTGTCCAGTAACTATTGCATAGATGAGTAAATTGCCTATTCTCAGAGTGGCCCCCTGTGCACCTAGAAGCCCAGTTTTCTTGCTACTTGTGGAAGGCCCACTCTTCACTGGCACCATTTCTCCATGGGCATGTGCATAACCATCTGACATCTTCCACCACTGCCAAGGCACTGCTGCTTCCTTTGTTATCAAAATACCCAGTGCCATTTCCCACCCATATCTGCCCAAACCACACTGTACCAAAGCGGTCAGCTGGGCCCAAGCCTGAACCACCATTGACCCTGATAACCCGGCAATGCAGAATTTCGGGGCCGGGTCCCCACTGAAGAGGAGGCCATATCTTTACCCACATCCCAGAACAAGGCTGCCTTGAGCTTCCAGATAATTTTTGTGAAAATAACTCATTTTGATCTTGGCAGTCAGCCCCCTGGCCGAGGGATCCAGCATAACCCCTTCTCAGTGACAGGCGTGTGCATTGTCTTTCTCCCATCAGACTTGGATCCACTGAGGTCCCTTAATTTCTCCTTATCGTCCCTGGGAGGGTCTGCACCATCTGTCCCCAGAATGTCCTGCTGTGCCTGACTCCTCCTCTGGGCACAGTTAGAGCATCTGGAGTGACCTCATAAAGGAGTTTGTCTTTTGTTCTGGGGGTTGTAAGGCAGAAATGGAGGCTCTGGAACAGGAAGTTATCCAAGGGAAGCAATGCTTCAGGGACAGACATTTTGGTCAACGTAATTCATTCCCCAAACATACGTATGGAACAGGATTCCACATCCCTCCCACATCTCTGTGGGAGTCAATGGTTCTCTCTGAATATTTCTGGATATTTGTATTCTCATGACACTGTGTTGGGTGTTGTCATATGACCAGTTGTGGCCAATGAATTGTGGTGAGAATAACAAGTTCCACTTAAATTTGATTACAGATGTGAGACACTTCAGGGCTCTCTTTCCTTCTTTTATGATGAGTGAACCACACAGCAAGGGGACACAGTGCTGGTGGGGGTGGGGTGGGATCACACTGGGACCATCACCTTAACCATCACCACTCCCAGCAGCCCTGCCGTGGTGGCCGCTCCATCAGCTGGACCTGCAATGCCCAGAGGAAACAAAGCCCTTACCACTGTCCCATGAAGGACGAGGACAGTGGATAAGGTAGTAATCTAGCTTTAGTCCACTGAGGTTGGGGTTGTTGTCACAGTTCAAGCCAGCCTATCCTGACCAATGTGTCCTTCCTCCTTTCTTCTCTGTTTTTCTTAACAAGTAATTGATAACTTCCAGGGACCCTGAAACCTTCCTTGCCAAGCCTAAGGCTCCTCCAGCTGCCTCCCCATCCTCCCACAGTTTCTCTGACTCCTGAGTCAGGGGGTTGTTAGCTTTGGGGCAGGCACCAACTTTTCTTGCAGGACCCTAGCATCAAAGTGGGAGGTTTGGAGGCCTTGGGAAATGACCTGGGTGCCAGCTTGTCCCCGCTTCTCTCCCCAAGGACAGGACAGCCACCAGAAGCAGAGCCACAGGCTCCCACAGGAGGTCGCCAGCTCCCACTCCCATGTCAGGTCAAATTCCCTCAGTAAATCACTTACAAGCTAGCACTCTTTATGCTTCCAATTCTCTGATGAACCCTAACTGGTGAACACAGATACCAGCAAAAGACTGGTTAATTCTCCCCTCCCATTTCTATTGTTTGCCCAACTTCCTCAGAATAATGGCATGGGGGTGGGAATGATTAGTAAGCTGGCCAGGTACTCCTGGTTCCTCATCCAAATTTACTGAGATACCCTTACACAAGAATAAAAAAGAATTATGAAAGTTCTTAAAGTGGGTGAAATGTGTTATGTTAAGTCAGCACCCACAGGATATACAAGGTCCAAATCATGGTGTTAACACTTAACAAAACAAGGACAGTAAGGAGCATAGAAGTCAATCAGAGAGACAAGAAATCGATCTGCTCTGAACATGTGATTCACCCTTCATTTATTAAATACTTAATATGTTAGGAAGTCTGCTATTAAATGAGGCGACAAAATTATCATCAGTGACCAGTTTGACCAGTAAAATCCCCTCCAATAGCTTCCATGTCCCTTGAAATGTTCCCACATTGTGTGTGTGTGTGTGTGTGTGTGTGTGTGTATCTTGTTAATCCTCACCCAAGGATATTTTTCCATTGATTTTTAGAAAGAGTGGAAGGGAGGGGAGATTCCAGGGCCAGGGATTGAGCCTGCAACTGAGGTACGTGCCCTTGACTGGAATTGAACTCAGGACCCTTCATTCCGCAGGCCTATTCACTGACCCAAACCAGCTAGGGTTGTTCCTATAATTTTTGGAGCTTGTCCTTATTTTCTAGCACAATAAGATGATCAGGCTCACCTTGTATATTACTGTTTCAGCCCAGAATCAGCCAGGTTTTCAAGAATCCCTGGCTTCTTTTAGCATAGTGACATTTAAAAACCAAGATCTGGCCACTGGGTTGCTTATTGCTGTTGGGGTTTTATTTCTTCTGACTTTCTGTCTGTCTATCTACCTTTATATCTGTCTATCTAGATTACTCTAACTCCAGTGCAACAAATACCTCGGTACTCATTTTAGTCTCCTCCCATTTCAATTTGTATCTATCTTCTCCTACAGTGAGAAGCCTGGCTCCTAACACCTCAATGTATACATTTGTTTGCTTAATTTTACAATCCACCAAAATAGTTTCAAAATTACTATAATTATGGCCTACAAAAGAACCTGTTAAGCAGATTTTAATATTTCTGTTTTGCAATTTTTTTTTCAACTGAGAGTATTTAGATAAAGTATTGGTCCAAATATTACTTTTATTATTTATTTTCTTTTTCTTTCATGTGGTCATGCTATTAATTTAAAATATGGTTCATTGGTTTCTGTTTGCATTCAATTTTCTTTTTTCTTATCCTTGTTGATTTATTTCATTTTTGAATGTGTAAAACATTAACAAAGTTTTAAAGTCAAAACTATATGCAGAGAAGTGTTGATTCCTCCTATATTCGTTTTATTTCCAACCCATCATCGCTAGGCAACCAATATTATTAATTTGTCTTCTCCTTCCTATGTTTTTGTGTGTTTTTTAAGAAATGAGAAACTTTCTTACTCACATGACATACTACATATACTCTTTTTTTTTAAAAAAAAAATTGACTTGTAGAGAGAGAGAAAGAGAGATGCAAAAGTAAAACATCGATCAGCTGCCTCCTGCACCCTCCACAGGGATCAAGCCCTGACTGGGAATCGAATCAGCAACCCTTCAGTACACAGGATGACACCCAAGTGAGCCACACCAGCCAGGGCTATATACTGGTATGTGCTTTTGTGCTTTTTTTTTCACTCAATAATCATATTCTGAAAGTCACCCCAAATAGTTCACGGAGATCTCTGTTTTGATAGCTGCAAAGCCCTTACCTAAATAAATGGGCATGGTTGTGTGCCAATAAAATCCTATTTACAAGAGTTGGTGAGTTGGATTTAGCCAGCAGGCCATGGTTTCTCAACCACTGCTCTAAAGAATGCCCTATGGCTGAAGGAGAGAACCCAGATAGGACAAAATTGGAAGGGAGGAATCCTTCCAGTAAAGTTAAACCTATTTGGAGAAGGCGTGGTTGCAGCCTCCTAGATGGCGGAGAGTTTGCTGGCTTTCCTCGGCCAAAGTTTTCCACAGTTGCCAGGCAAGCAGGAAACAACCCTCTGACACATAGGCACAGAATTGGTCAGGGCCCCCCTGGAACACTCGGTATCCCCACCAGGAGGTCCACAGCAAGCTGGTCATGAGGCTTGGGCTGGGGCTGGAACTCTCTAAGGGACCAGGCACTCCGACACCACTTGGTTTCATCATCACCTTCACTTCCACCCTCATTATCCCCATTGCATACCATAATGGACGCTGTGGCAAGGATTAAGTAAGAGCAAACCCCAGCACCTCAGAACCACAATAGCCCCCTTCCTTCTGCAATGTTCCTCCTGCGCCCTCTACTGACAAAGCTAAACATTGTGCTGTCTGTTATGGAGAAATGCTTTGAGTCCTGTCTGTTATCACAGAGCAGGTATTAAAGAGTAAAACTGAAGTTGAGAGGCTCCTACAGTAAATTCTTAAAAACTGGATTTATGAGTTAAAGGGTAAATAAGTAATTTGCTAGTTTATGAAAAATGTATTCCCATAGGGGTTTATCATTCTGCATTTCCACCAACAATATATGAGAGTACCATCACTGTACCACCTCATCAATAAAGTGTTGCCATACTTTTTGTTTTTTCAATCTATATTAATAAAGAGCTAATATGCTAATGGTCCATATGCCCTAACGGTAACGACCAGGTCATTAGCATATTAGCCCGGGGCATTGCTCTGGAGACGGGGCGGAAGTGGGGAGGCGCCCAGAGGAGGTGGGACAGTCCTTCGCCACCCACCGCTGGCACTCTGAGTGCCCCGCGGCTCACCTGCAAGGGGACGGACCACAGCACAGGCTTCTGCTCTCCTCCGGGGGGCACCATGACGGGGCAGAGCTGCCATGTTGCTCCGGAGATGGGGTGGAAGCCGGAGGCGCCCAGAGAAGGCGGGACCAGCCCGAGGCCTCTCGAGGGACTGAGGGTGGGGCTTGAAGCGGCCAGAGGAGGCCAGAGGGTTTGGGGGCTGGGCCAGGCGCTCTGCATGGACAGGTTCAGCGTCAAGGCAGGGCGGCAGGTGGGTGGGCCGCGCCCCGCGATTCCCAATCAGGAGCTGGGCTCCTGGAATAATTATAAAATCTTATCTCATTGTTGTTTTAAATTACATTTCTTTTACTATTAGGAAATCTGACTATCTTTTCATAGGCTAAGAGTTATTTTTATCTTTTTGGTTGTTGCAAATTGTCCATTTTTCTATAGGACAACAAAACAAGCTCTTAAACAGCTTAGAGCAGGAAAAAGATCAGCTACAACTGAACTTACTTGTGAAGAAACAGTTTTGTAAAGTTTTTTGTTGTTGTTTTCCCTCAAATTACAGACCAAAGTTTAAACAAATTCAGTTTATCTCAATGTTCACTAAGTTCTCGGTGTGGGTCTGGGCACCAGAGGTAGAGTAAAACATGGTCCTTGCTCTTAAGGATCTTACATCTTGATGGAAAAATAGATGTATGAAATTGGGAGACAGTAGAACATAGCAATTAAAATATGGGTTAGGTTCAAATTCTGATATTGAATTTCAATAATTAGCTGTGTAATATTTGGTGGGTCACTTCTATCTTTATGCCTCAATTTCTTAAGATGGGAATAATAATATGCATCTCATAGAGTTATTATAATAACTAAATGAATTATTATATGAAAACAGTACACTTCCTGGTACATAATAAACACATACTAACTAATTATTAGTAATAATAAATGAAAACGATTATACTAGTAGTGACAAAAGTGATAGAGGAATTTACATTGCAATGATAACTTATATAAGCTCATTAAATTATAGTTGAATTTTAAAGTGTATGATGAACTGGATCTAAGATGGTAGTGGATTAGGTGGAAGTTACACTCACTTCCTCCCAGGACCAAACTGGAATTACAACTGAAATATAGAACAACCAACTGGAATAATCAATCAAAGATTAGCTGAACAAAAGTCTTATAGCTAAGGATTTACAGAAGAAGCCACATTGAGACTGGTAGGAAGGGCAGAGATGTGAACGGGCTGGCCCTGCTCCCACAGGTGGCAGCTGAGATCACAGAGGGATATCTCAGCAACCAAGGCTCCCTCTGAGAAGCAAAGGGTCTCAAACCCCATATTAGTCCCCCCAAACCAGAGCACCAGAGTCAGGAAAAGGTGCCCACATAACATGTGGCTGTGAAAAATCATCAGGGATTCTGCCCACCGGGGAGAGATGAAAGTCTGCTAGAGGCACAGGCACCCTCTTAAAAGTCCAACGCACAAAATCTCGTTTGCAGCCACTTACCATGGGCTCCAGCAGAGGAACAGAGAAGGCTCAAGTTGCGGAGGAACAAATGGGGTTTGTGGCTCCCAGGAAAGAGCTGAAGGCACAGCCACCAGGGTCCCTGTGCCGAGTCCCTCTGTTATGTCGCAGAGGCCATCTTTCTGGATGGAACACCTTCCTTATTGCATCAGTCTGGAGGAATGCAATAACTCCACCCTTCAGACTTCTTGTTGCCCCACCCTGGGAAGTTCACAACCCGTGATAAAGTCAGTTGCCTGGGGCCCAGAGTGTAGAGTTCTGGGCAGGCTCAAGGGCTGAGTTTTGTGGCTCTGTAGTAGGGCTCATTACTCCCACGTTCCTGTGAGCCTAACCAGCATCTCTCTCTCGTGGGAGATCCACTAACCCCAACCTCTGGATTCCTGGCGGCCCCACCCTGCCAAACTAGGGCTCTCCAGAAGGTCTGGGCAGAATACAGGACAGACTGAGTTGTGTGGCTCTAGGCCATTTTTACCTCACAAGCCTTACCAGTGTAGAGCCCTCCCTTCACACGGCCAAATCCTGTTCTGTTTGGGTCTGATAAACTTGGCTGGCCTCACACTGACAATTATCTGAGACTCCACCCCATCACAAAGGTCTGTGGGCACCGAATGGATGGCAGCTAGACCTGATATATCTTGAGACTTTTGCTGAAAGCCCTCAGACCCAGCACTAGCACCAAGTTTGAACCTGTACCAGTCTGGTGAATACCACTTGCCCCTATCTGGTGATGCACTAAGAACCTACCTCATACAACTCAAGTACCACCAGAGGCTCTGTCAGTGACTGAACCTAACAGGCAGCTGGCAGACAGATCTCAGGTTTCCTTGGGCCTTTGGCTGACCTGACTCCGGGTTGGGTGCTGGTGGACAGCTTGGTACTCTCCACAAACACACAGGCCCAGCAGAGGCAACCACAAACTATGTATCACTTTGTAGCTCCTAACAGGTTGCCCAGGGCTAGTCACAGACAACATCTGACATTGACCTGCAGCAGAGTCCCTCCCAAGAGACCCCAGAACAACACACCCAGTGGCTGAGCTTTAAACAGAGCAGGATCTAATTAGATATCAAGGGATATCTCGGCAGGCTCCAGACCCTGCTAAGGTGAATTAGGCTTTGTGTGGTCAGCACCTGCACAGCAGTTCATACACTGTGGTTGGGGTTGAATCTTACAATCAGACAGCCTGAAGGTCAACCTCATGCATGAACAGGCCAATAGCAATCAAGACATAATTACAAGCCCGGCCCGCGAGGCTCAGTGGTTCAGCATTGACCTATGAACCAGAAGGTCACAGTTTGATTCCTGGTCAGGGCACATGCCCGGGTTTCGGGCTTGATCCCCAGTAGAGGCTGTGAAGGAGGCAGCTGATCAGTGATTCTTTCTCATCATTGATGTTTCTATCTCTTGCTTCCTTTCTCTCCCTCTCTCTGAAATCAATAAAAAACATATTTTAAAAAAAGACACAATGACAAGAGGAGGGCTCATATAATTCGCACAAGGGACATTCCTGGAGCACCCAGCTCAGATGATCAAGGAGAATGTGCCACTGGGTCCCAAAGGACACCTTCTACATAAAGCCACCTTACCCGGAAAGGGAGACAAAGCACATCTACCTAATACTTAGAAACAAACACAAAGAGGCAGCCAAAGTGAGGATACAAAGAAATATGCTCCAAATGAAAGAACAGGAGAAATCTCCAGAAAAAGGAGCTAAATGAATTGGAGGCAAGTGATTTACTAGATATAGAGTTAAAAGAAACAGTATTAAGGATGCCCAATAAAATGTGAGAGAACTTCAACAAAGAGATAGCAAGCATAAAAAAGGACATAAAAACCATATATCTGTCAGAAATGAAGAATACAATATGTGACAAACCCACAGCTAACATGATGCTCAATGGGGAAAAACTAAAGGCATTTCCCTTAAGAATAGGAATTAGCCCTGGCTGTTGTGCTTAGTGGTTAGAGCACCTGCCCATGAACTGAAGGGTTGTAGGTTTGATATCCGAGCAAGGACATGTACCTGAGTTGCAGGTTTGATCCCCATCCCCTGTCAGGCCACGTGTGGGATATGTATCTTTCACATTGATGTTTCTTTCTCTCTCCCCCTCTCTCCCTCTCTTCTACTCTCTCTAAAAATCAATGGAAAACATATCCTTGGGTGAGGATTAACAAAACAAAAAAATTGGTATAAAACAGGAATTTCACACTCATTCAACGTAGTCCTAGCCACAGCAATCAGGCAAAAAGAAGAAATAAAAGGCATCCAAATTGGAAAGGAACGAGTAAAACTGTCATTATTTGCAGACGACATGATACTGTGTATAAAGAACCCTAAAGATGCCACCAAAAAAACTATTAGAACTGATAAATGAATTCAGTAAAGTAGCAGGATACAAAATAACTATCCAGAAATCAGTTGAATTTTAACCAATAGTGAACTATCAGAAAGGGAAACTAAGAACACAATCCCATTTGCAATTGAATACAAAAAATAAAATGACTAGGAATAAATTTAACCAAGAATGTAAAAAACCTGTACTCAGAAAATTATAAGACCCTGAAGAAAGAAAATGAAGAAGATACAAATAGAATCATATACCGTGTTCATGGATAGGAAGAATTAACATCATTAAAATGTCCATATTACCTAAAGCAATCTATAGATTCAATGCAATTTCTAGCTAGATACCAATGGCATATTTCACAGAACTAGAACAAATATTTCAAATATACATATGGAACCACAAAAGACCCTGAATAGCCACAACAATCTTGAGAAAGAACAAAGTTGGAGAGATCATGCTACCAGATATCAAACTATACTACAAGGCCATAGTAATCAGAACAGCATGGTACTGGCATAAAAACAGACATATAAATCAATGGAACAGAATAGAGAGCCCCAAAATAAACACACACCTTTATGATTAATTAATATTTGATAAAGGAGGCAAGAAAATATAATGGGGTAAAGATAGTCTATTCAATAAATGGTGTTAGGTATATAGGACAGACTTGTGCAAAAAAATAAAACTAGACCACCTTCTTACACCATACACAAGAATAAACTAAAAATGGATTAAAGGTTTAAATGCAAGACTCAAAACCATAAAAATCCTAAAAGAAAACAGAGGCAGTAACATCTTGGACATTTCTCTTAGCAATACATTTTTCTGGTAAATTTCTTCAGGCAAGGTAAACAGAAGAAAAAATAAACAAATGGGACTACATCAAAGTAAAATATTTTTGCACAGCAAAGAAAACCTTCAACAAAATGGAAAGACAACTCACTGAATGGGGGAACATAGTCTCCAAAGGTACATCTAATAAGAATTAACATCCAAAATTTATAAAAAACTCAACCCTAAGAAAATAAACAATCAAATTAAAAAATGGACTAGGGCCCTAGCTTGTTTGGCTCAGTGGATAGAGCGTCGGCCTGCAGACTGGAGGGTTCCGGGTTCAATTCCAGTTAAGGGCACATGCTTGTGTTGTGGGCTCAATCTCCAGTAGGGGGCGTGCAGGAGGCAGCTGATCAATGATTCTCTCTCATCATTGATGTTTCTATCTCTATCTCCCTCTCCCTTCCTCTCTGAAATCAAATACACACACACACACACACACATACACACACACAGTAGGGACCTGAATAGAAACTTTTCTAAAGAGGACATATAGATGGCCAATAGACATATGAAAAAATACTCAATGTCACTAATCATCAGAGAAATGCAAATTAAAACCACAATGAGATATCACTTCACACCTGTCAGAATGGCTATCTATTATAATAAAAGTGTAATATGCTACTTAGACCGGACATCCTTCTGGAAAACCTTCCAGATGAAGCCAGGGCTGCGAGGGAAGCCCGGGTCCCGGGTGCCAGAGGGAAGCTAGTGCTGGCAGCTGGGGGAACTAAGGCCTACTCTTGCACAAATTTCATGCATCAGGCCTCTAGTCATCAATAAATCAACAAACAAGTGTTGTTGGCCAGGTGAAGAAAAGGGAACCTTGTGCACTGTTGGTGGGAATGCAGATTGGTGCAGTCACTGTGGAAAACAGTATGGAGGTTCCTCCAAAAATTAAAAATATAACTGCCTTATGATTCAGTGATGTCACTTCTGGGTATATATCCGAAGAACCTCAAAACACTAATTCAAAAGAATATATGCACCCTTATGTTCATTGCAGCATTATTTACAATATCTATGCTATGGAAGCAACCCAAGTAACCTTCAATAGATGAGTGGCCAAAAAAATAAAAAATAAAATAGATACATATATGCAATGGAACTATTACTTGGCTATAAAAAGAATGAAATCTTATCATTTGCAATAGCATGGATGGAGAGGACATTATGTTAAGTGAAATAAGTCAGATAGAGAAGTACAAACACCATATGGTTTCACTTACATGTGGAATCTAAAGAACAATATATATGAGCAAACAAAACATAAAAAGACTCATAGATACAGAGAACAGATTGATGTTTGCCAGAGGGGAGGGGGGTTGGGGTCTGGGTGAAAAAGGTGAAGGGATTGAGAAGTACAAATTGGTAGTTACAAAATAGTCATGAGGATGTAAAGTACAGCAGAGGAAATATAGTCAATAATGTAATGTTGTATGGGGCCAGTTTGGTACTGGAAATATCAGCGAGGAACACTTGGTAAAATAAATGATAGTTTAACCACTATGCTGTATACCAGAAACTAATACAAAATGCTATTGAATGTATAATTAAAAATTTTTAAAATTAATTTGAAAAAATCTTATCTGAAGAAATAAAAATAAAAGTATATTATGACCAAATCATTAAAAATATTTAAACCATAAGCAGTACATTTGGTTTAATAAAAATCCATTAAAATTTTTATATAATTTTCTTAATATTGATGAAATAAAGTAAAGGCTTAAGTAAATAGGAAAATCACAAATAGAAAGAACAAATCTCTGAATCTGAATTTTTAAAAATGTATCTCTCTTTTTAAAAATATGTCTTTATTGATTTTTTTTTCTTTTTAGAGAGAGAGGAAAGCTAGCAGAGCGATAGAGAAACATCAATGAGAGAGGAACATCATTGATCGGCTGCCTCCTACACATCCCCCATTAGGGATCTAGCCCACAACC